GGGCGGCCGCTCGGCAGCCAGAGCTCCCGTGCAGGCAGACGGTCAGTGCACCTCGCAGTGCAACCCCCCCTCCAGCCGCTGCCTTTCGTTTGCTTCGTCTAACATTTTCGCTGTTTGTCTTAGTACAGAAGGAAAGGGAACGGGAGGGTGCTTTTGTTGTTTGTTTGGTTAAAGGGGCCTGCTCTCTCCGTACGAACAGCGGCTCCGGGGGGACTTCGCGCCCCTCCGCTACCCGCTTGCGGCGGCCGAGACGTTCCGGGGGCGGTGGGAGCCCCCTTCCCTTCTCCGCTGCTTTCCGCCGTCCCCGCGGCCGGGCAGCGGCCCCCGCGCTGCCTCCCGGTCCCGCAGCGCGGATGCCCCAGCGGCAGCGCCTGCCTTGTTCTCCGCCGGGAAGCACGTCCAGGCTGGGTCAGGGCCTTCCTCCGGCACTTTCAAGAGGAAAATCAATGTTCTGCAAACCACACCGAGAGTCTCCTTCTCTGATGCCTGCTCCTGGCCACCCGGGGAAGGGGGAGTGCGAGGAGCAGCTGCTGCAGGTCCTCAACCCGGGGAGAGACCCCGGGGCCGCGCACGCTGCCCCCTGCACGGACAAGCCCCTGGGGCCGTCTGCCCTCTGGTCTGTGTGGTAAGGCCCTGGCACCACACAGGCTCCCCTCTGCTCAGGAACAGCTGTGCTGGAATTGGGGGTAATCACTTTGCAAATGAGAACCCAATGTGTTTAATAGTCTCAGCTCAACTCCTTCCGTAACATTTCTGGTGAAATTTGGCAAACCTATGGCGTTGCTTTCTCCTGTTTGTGCTGCTATTCTTCAGGTAGTACCTGTTTGTGCCTGTTACAAGCTCTGTGAGGAGAAGCAGCCCCATAACCCAGAGGTTTGAGAGAAGGTGATGAGACCAGCGGTGTTGGTACAGTACATGGAGATATGCAGGGAGGGCAGCAGCAGATCCCATTTCATCTCAGCTGGGGGTCAGACTGCTCCCCAGTGCTCTCCAGAACTGGCAGTGCCAGGAGAGCTCTGGGAAGGGACCTGTTCCCTGAAACAGGTCTCCCTCAGCCTTCCCAGACAGATGTGCGGTACAAGTCTGACTAAAGTGAGGGCTCCTAAACAGGTGAGCTGCTGCCAGCACTGAAATTGTATTTGATATCTTCAGAGTTGAATTGCGGCTGCATCATTATAAGTAGTTGTTCTCTTCATCCGAGTTCTTTGGAAGTGGATTCTCTGCCACGAAAGGGGTGAAACACTGTTCTTCTAAGGTTTGCAGTATTTAAGTTCAAGTTATCCTCCTCATTTGCCATAAGTCAGGGCCTAAGGAGAGTTTGTGAGCAAGTCCCTGAGGGGTCATGGAGAGATGCCTCTGTATAAACTACCTTGTTCTCCTGAAAGCTTATCTCAGTGCTTTGGCCTGTGGATGCTTTTCCTGAGCTACTGATTTTGAGATGCCCAGACAAAATCCTCCACGCAGTTTTCAGCTTCCTGGGGCTGAACTTTTTCCTGAAGTTCATAAGTTGTGGGTAGAGCTTGTGGAAAGGGTTGTAAACAGGCACAGATCACTGGATGGGGGAGAGACCCGTTGCAAGCCAAAAGCAATGAACCCAGCCTTGTACATAAGTACAAGTAGAGATGCAGCCTTTTCCCCGAACACGAGTGTATTTTCCATCAGAGAGCCAACAGCATAGAGGGAGACATTGCCTGAAAGACAACTTTTTTTCAAAGAGCACTGTTACATCTTTTGCTCAGACTCAAGAAATTCACCTCAAGAACAAATGCAGAAACATGTTCCCTTTAGAATTAATGAAGGTATGTTTTATTTGTACTGAACTGCATTTTTAAATTTTCAGTGTATTCTGGACATAGACATACATCCTGCATGCATTAAATCTAAATGTCTTTTGAGCAATGCCCATGCAGGATTTCAGACTCCCACTTGTGTGGGAGGGATCAGAATCGAGCCATTAACATTCTCAGGGAGAGCAGGTGAAGTTACAAACAGTTGTGTACGAGACATGTTGGCTCTGTGGAAGATGCGTCTGCACAGCATCCTTTGCTCCAGAAATCCGCAGCACTTTGCAAGACAGGGCTGTAAGTGAAGTGCTGAATTGTTGCATGTGCAAAATCATTAGCAATTATTTGCACAGTTAAAAAAACTACAGCCTCATTCTAGAACATCTAGAATAGATGCAAGTGCATTCATTATCCTTAGAAAGACTGAACATCGGCCGTGGAGAGGTTAATAATGCTAACATTTAAGTGTAATGACAATATTTAGGCTTTTGCGTTAACACTTTTTTGAATGGAAGAGTGGAAGATCACACTTGGTGCTTCAGTTAGTCTGTCAAAAAACAGCATATTGAGTTGCATGTTGATGGTTCCTTCCTATACCAAAGAGCTGCAGAGTTTATTTATTTCAACAAAAATTGGTAAGTGAAAATATTCTAAATTAAAGTTTCAAGACAGTCTGGTTGGGGAGAAAATTCTAATAATTAGCAGAGGAATCTGGTTGTGGGTATTTTAAGAATATTTTTAAAACCACACATTTTTGGTTTTTTTTTGCTATAAGAAGAGATGAATATTAAATTCAGTAAAAGGCATATGTTTAACATAAACACTTTATGAAAGCGTTTATAAATCAGTGCTTTCCCGTATCAAACATCAGACTAAGAAAGTATACTTCTCAGGAACATTACAAAGATAGGAACTTGTCTAACTATCTCCCGATGATAATAGAAAGAATTATTTCATAGGAATGAATGCAGTAGAAAAGATGAAGTTAGGTGATGTTCAGGACTGGAATGCTGCTGCTATTCCCAATGCCTGCAAAAGCGTGAAGTTTGATATGGCTTCTTTTCTACTTATATATACCTTTATCCTAGATTTATTGTGGTCAAGTCCAGTTAATTTACATGGTGCAGATTCAGATTCTTTCTATGGGAAACCTGGAGTGGCAAAACACAGAAATCTTAAGGAGAAAGAGATAAAATTTGAATCCATTTCTTTTAAGATTTCTCAAGAAAGGAGTGGAGAGCTGTTATTGCAGATCTGTTTGCATGGGGTAACTCAGTGGTTAATGCAGATTAAGTTTTCCAGAATAGTTTCCCATATGCTTTTCTGTCGTGACTTTTTACTGATGCCACTGGATGCAATAATAATTGCAACACAGTGACTTATTTCACAACAGAATGTCCTCAGGATGAGGAATTAATTATTCTTTGCTGTGAATACCATTCACAGCCAACTTCTTTGTGTTGCTAGTCAAGTAAACAGGATTTCAGATTTGTCTCTTCCAAAGACATCCTCAGAAGCTCTTTATCCATTTTATACCTCAGTTTTCCAGTTTCTAAAATGAGATCTATACCTATTTAATGCAGCAGGGGAGGTTACAATGCATGTGAGTGAGTGTGTGTGTGAGAGAACAAGAGAATGGAGGGGGATGTCACAGTAAATCCAAAGAGAGATGTATTTATACCTCATCTGTGATTAGAAAAAAAAAAAAAAAAGTATGTACCACTTAAATGTTATTTAAGTCAGCGTTAACCTCAGGATGCTTATCTTTATTGTTGTTGCTAAATTCAATTATACCATATTTATGCCAGGTTATTTTTATTTGGTAATACATCAAATTAAGCTAAATAAATCTGGACATGATATGGCCTGGTTTAAAAATGTTTGTGCTAATGTAACTGAAGTCTCCAATTCATGTCCACATGATGAAGCAGTTGTGGGGTTTTAACACATTACTGCCCCAGAGCTGTTTGCTCAGTTGATCTTCTGGAAATCACTACATCTTTTTCTATGCTTTGGCCATCACAGTTCACATGCTGGTGGATTGGTGCAAACTCACCCCATCACCTGATGGGGAGAAGTGTGAAACA